TTACACATCCACAACTTCCAACATCTTTACCAGCCCTTACAACATCCACAACTTCCAACATCTTTACCAGCCCTTACAACATCCACAACTTCCAACATCTTTACCAGCCATTACAACATCCACAACTTCCAACATCTTTACCAGCCATTACAACATCCACAACTTCCAACATCTTTACCAGCCCTTACAATATCCACAACTTCCAACATCTTTACCAGCCCTTACAACATCCACAACTTCCAAAATCTTTACCAGCCATTACAACATCCACAACTTCCAACATCTTTACCAGTCTTTACAACATCCACAACTTCCAAAATCTTTACCAGCCATTACAACATCCACAACTTCCAACATCTTTACCAGCCATTACAACATCCACAACTTCCAAAATCTTTACCAGCCGCCCCCCAGTAGCACAGCGGTATGTCTGCGGACTTACAACGCTAGAATCCGGGCTTCGATACCCGTGGTGGGCAGAGCACAGATAGCCCTTTGTGTAGCTTTGTGCTTAATTACAAACAAACAAACTTTACCAGCCATTACAAAATCCACAACTTCCAACATCTTTACCAGCCATTACAACATCCACAACTTCCAACATCTTTACCAGCCCTTACAGCACCCACAACTTCCAACATCTTTACCAGCCCTTACAGCACCCACAACTTCCAACAGTAAGATTTTAAAACGATTACAGTATACTAAAGATGAGAAAATTGTAGCAATGGCGACTAGAAATCTTAAAAAGATCTGTTACAACTTCAACTTCACGAGCTTTATATTTGAAAGTACATGAACGGTTAAGAACTTCATCCGTTACTGGTTTTGTTTGGGGTTAAGCACAATGGGCTATCTGTGCACTGCCCACAACGAGTATCGAAACCCGGTTTCTAGCGTTGTAAGTCCGCAGACATACTGGGAGGGGGGTTTACTGGTTTTAAAGACATGTTACACATTTCGTTTTTTTTACTCATCTTATTAGGAATGTTGAATGTGGTTTGTGAAATTTAAAGAGAGATTGATTACGTGAATTTTGATTGACAGCTGATAACATTTAAAGAGAGATTGTTTACGTGAATTTTGATTGACAGCTGATGACATTTAAAGAGAGATTGTTTACGTGAATTTTGATTGACAGCTGATGACATTTAAAGAGAGATTGATTACGTGAATTTTGATTGACAGCTGATGACATTTAAAGAGAGATTGTTTACGTGAATTTTGATTGACAGTGATGACATTTAAAGAGAGATTGATTACGTGAATTTTGATTGACAACTGATGACATTTAAAGAGAGATTGATTACGTGAATTTTGATTGACAACTGATGACATTTAAAGAGAGATTGATTACGTGAATTTGATTGACAACTGATGACATCTAAAGAGAGATTGATTACGTGAATTTTGATTGACAGCTGATGACATTTAAAGAGAGATTGATTACGTGAATTTTGATTGACAACTGATGACATTTAAAGAGAGATTGATTACGTGAATTTTGATTGACAACTGATGACATTTTTAGAGAGATTGATTACGTGAATTTTGATTGACAGCTGATGACATTTAAAGAGAGATTGATTACGTGAATTTGATTGACAGCTAATGACATTTAAAGAGAGATTGTTTACGTGAATTTTGATTGACAGCTGATGACATTTAAAGAGAGATTGATTACGTGAATTTTGATTGACAGCTGATGACATTTAAAGAGAGATTGTTTACGTGAATTTTGATTGACAGCCGATAACATTTAAAGAGAGATTGATTACGTGAATTTTGATTGACAACTGATGACATTTAAAGAGAGATTGATTACGTTAATTTTGATTGACAACTGATAACATTTAAAGAGAGATTGATTACGTTAATTTTGATTGACAACTGATGACATCTAAAGAGAGATTGATTACGTGAATTTTGATTGACAGCTGATGACATTTAAAGAGAGATTGAGTCTTGACAACAGCCAGGCACTGTTTAGAAAAACGGCAGTTGTTTTTCTATATACAAATAAAATGGATCTGGTTATTTTGAGTGTTTCACAAAGTACTTTGTTTATGACACACGATACATCGACTTATGAGTTACATCGTGACACAATATACTCTATTCCATATTTAGTTTTGAACATAAACTATTCTATATATTATATTTACTTTGTGTTTGTTTGTTTGTAATTAAGCACAAAGCTACACAATGGGCTATCTGTGCTCTGCTTACCACGGGTATCGAAACCCGGATTCTAGCGTTATAAGTCCGCAGACATACCGCTGTGCCAATGGGGGCTTTACTTTGTGACACAATATACTCTACCCTACAATTAGTTTGAACAGAAACTATTCTATATAATATATTTACTTTGTGACACAGTATACTCTACCCTACATTAGTTTGAACAAAACTATTCTATATAATATATTTACCTTGTGACACCATATACTCTATCATACATTTAGTTTGAACAGAAACTATTCTATATATTATATTTCCTTTTGACACAATATACTCTACTCTACATTTAGTTTGAATAGAAACTATTCTATATGATATATTTACTTTGTGACACAATATACTCTATCCTACGTTTAGTTTGTGACACAAATAATTTTATCGTTTTTGTGACACACAAAGTACTCTATTCTATGTTTAGTTTGTGACACATACATTACTTAATTCTATATTTAGTTTGTGATACAAGCTACTCTACCTTGTGCTTTCTTTATGACACATACTACTCTTCATATATTTAGTTTGTGACATATATTACTCGTTCTTTTTTTAGTTTGTGCACATATTACTTCATCACGTGTTTTCTTTGTGACACATCCTACTTCATCTTATATTTTTAGTTTGCAAGAGTTTCGTGACAAGAACGAAGAATATTAAAACACATCTAAGAGCAAGTGTTTCCGAAAATAACTTAGTAACGAAAAAAAACAACCGGTTTTAAAGGAGTAAGATGCAATAAGAGTTAAAAATCAAGTCCAGGGGCATATTTTACCAGATCAATGCTCTAACAGCAATGGAACAGGTTACCCAGATAACCACCAATCCCAGCTTGTCTTTTCCTGATGTAACCTAGACTGCTAGCAACTTACATTGGTGAGAACCGATTCTCGGCAGTTAGTCGAACGACATGGTTGTAGTAACGATGACTGGACTTGTACTGAAGATAATGCAGGCCGTGCTATCCTATTTGATATTGCCAACTATGGCCTTTTTAATTTGCTTCTTCTTTGTACTTAAGTACAATACTTATCTGCGTACTCGTTGGTTTGCCTGGTTCCACTCCAACATCTGGAATCCTGTTGCTGAAATCCTTACCTTCAATATGAAAAGAGAACACTTTGAAGGACTTCAAAGGATGGTCTCGCACGATCCGGATCTCCGTAAAGAAGAGACGATCCGGATCCTGGAGATTGGAGCAGCTCATGGTTGTAACTTGGAGTTTTACCCTGACAAGTGCCGATTCATAGGCGTCGACCCTAACCCTTACTTCCACTCCTACTTTGACAAAGCTCACAGTTTAAAAAAGAATCAGCATGTTGTGGTCGAAAAACTCTTATGCTGTGGAGCGGAAGACATGAAAGATATTCCTGATAATAGTGTGGACGCTGTGACGTCAACCTACGTCATGTGCTCGGTTACCAGTATCCAGGAAACACTGAAAGAAATTTTGAGAGTATTGACTCCAGTGAGTATAGAACAGTATTTTTAGTAAAACTAAGTAATAGTGAACGTTGACTCCAGTGAGTATAGAACAGTATTTTTAGTAAAACTAAGTAATAGTGAACGTTGACTCCAGTGAGTATAGAACAGTATTTTTAGTAAAACCAAGTAATAATGAACGTTGACTCCAGTGAGTATAGAACAGTATTTTTAGTAAAACCAAGTAATAATGAACGTTGACTCCAGTGAGTATAAGACATTGTTGTTGACAATACTAAAGTAATAATGAATGTTGACTCGAGTAAGTATAAAACATTATTGTTAACAATACTAAAGTGATAATGAATGTTGACTCGAGTAAGTATAAAACATTATTGTTAACAATACTAAAGTAATAGTGTATGTAGACTCCAGTAAGTATAAGACATTGTTGTTGACAATACTAAAGTAATAATGAATGTTGACTCGAGTAAGTATAAAACATTATTGTTAACAATACTAAAGTGATAATGAATGTTGACTCGAGTAAGTATAAAACATTATTGTTAACAATACTAAAGTAATAATGAATGTTGACTCCAGTAAGTATAAAACATTATTGTTAACAATACTAAAGTAATAATGAATGTTGACTCGAGTAAGTATAAAACATTATTGTTAACAATACTAAAGTAATAATGAATGTTGACTCCAGTAAGTATAAAACATTATTGTTGACAATACTAAAGTACTAATGAATGTTGACTCCAGTAAGTATAGAACACTATTATTAATAATACTAAGTAATAATGTGAGTGGTCTTTCTTATTGGCATCATAGTCTTGAAAATGTTAATGTCTTATCAACACTATATCACTTCCACGTCTGCCTGTAACCATTAATATAATATTACCTTGTGCGGAGCCACCTACCGTACAGTTGCCTAAACATTTCATATATGTAAAACCATCTAACATTTCCTGATTTAATTACTGTAAACTTTCAAAATAAATTAATTAATGTACCTCACCAAAACACTTCCTAAACTACTTACTGTATAGCAATCTAAACATTCCTAAAACTACCTATTGTACAGCTGTCTAAACATTTTGTAATATCATGTTTTGTACAACCATCTAAACATTTTTTTAACAACCTACTGTACAAACATGTGAATACTTCATAAACTACTACCGTACAGCTACCAAAACACTTCCTAAACAACCTACTGTACAACCATCTAAACATTTCCTAAACAACTACCGTACAGCTACCAAAACACTTCCTAAACAACCTACTGTACAGCCATCTAAACGTTTCATAAACTACTACCGTACAGCTACCAAAACACTTCCTAAACAACCTACTGTACAGCCATCTAAACGTTTCATAAACTAATACCGTACAGCTACCAAAACACTTCCTAAACAACCTACTGTACAGCCATCTAAACGTTTCATAAACTAATACCGTACAGCTACCAAA